AAAAAAAAATTGTTTAAATCCAACCACTTACTAAAATACCCAAGCAAGAATCCCTTAGTTTAATCTTATGCTAAAAAAAAAAACTAATATTATATTAAAAATAAATTGTTGATATTTAGGTTCAATTGTGCAAAAAATTATTTTAGTTTATGAGAATCAATTATTATTAAGTTTCAATGTAATGAAATGTAGTAGTATTTGGTAAATCACTCCCTATATATTAATTCAAAACGTGTTGAGGCTAGGTGGCAGATTCTCACGCTTCGGATGCTGACATGAAGAAAATCTATGCTTCCTGAGTTTTGATATCATTTTTGCTATAAAGTTAGGTTTGGTATTTATTAGTGATGAACATTCAGTTGCAGACAATTGAAATATTTTCTTAAAAAAAGTTACACTGTTCCGTACATTCAAGTAATGGTACAATGATAGCGTACTGAACCCACCATTTTGTGGCATGGCCACAGACTTCATTCTGATTGATTAAGTCAAATCTTCCATCTCTGGTCCAACATTTCTACACATATAATTAATTTAGGAAAAGAATTTCTTAATTATATGTACTTAGAAAAACTGTTGTTTTGAAAAATATGACCAATGGTCTAATGGTTTTGTAAATTTAGCTCTTTATATAGATAGATTTCATTTAGCCGAACTTGTCAAGTATCTTGATCACGTTCAAAATCGAACTAGTGTGGCAGTGACGCTTCTCGTCTGACCCATACAAATGAAGCTCCATTGAGCTCCACACAGCTCGTTAATTTGGCGCAAAGTTAGGCCATATCGACTACTTAATAATGAGAACTGTGAACCCAAAGAAAATACTGACGATGAAAGACAATTGCCCCTTATTTCCAAACACAGTGAGTTTGCCAACTAGGCTTGGTTAGCTTGTTTAATCGACAAATAAAGGGGATTTTGTGTACTCGGGAGGCTTGACTCGTTTATAGCTCTTATATAGCTTATAGTTCATGGCTGAAAAAGTTAGCTGATATGATATTTGGTAAAATTAGTTGATAAATCAGGTGAAATAAAATTTTCAAACTACTTATCTGAAATGCTACTCGAGAATCTTATGAGATAAGTTATTTTTACAAAAACTTGTTCTACCTAACCAAATAAGCTATATGCTAGCTTATGGTACTTACCAAACACACTCTATATACGAACCAAATTCTAATTTTGATGAGCTAATTCGAATCTGAAACATTCTGGTTAAAATATAGCTCACATATACCTAGTTTCAAACTTTAACTTATTTTAAATTTCAAGAATAATTTTCATTCAAAAGCTTCACAATAATTCACTGGGGGCACACAGTAATTTCAAAATGAATGTCTTTTACTGGGCTTCAAAACCCTATGTTGCTACGAGTTATAACGTTGTCCAAAAGCCACACGTTTTGTCCACTTTGCCTTTTGTGTTTGACAGATAATAAAAAAAGGAACAAAATAGGGTAAATGCGGGTCAATTCTGTCTCCTATAATTTTTTTCCCATTTAGGCC